GTAATCTGTGTTTTGGGCTCTGCTGGATAAATTTGTAAAGTGTCCTACAATTTGAGTGTCGTTAGGGTTGCAGGGAATGGTGGAGTTCATTAACATAATATTAAGAACAAATTTAAAAGACATGTACAATTCAACTCCTCAGAACCTCTGTAGTGTCAGGAAACACTGTCTTTTTTTGTATGCGGAGGTGTTAGTCTGAAGCGAAATAGAACAATTTCTTTGTGATTATATATATTTAATATCACTCAGTTCTTGAAATACAGGCAGCCAAGGTAATATTTTTCTAAATATAGTACCAGCCAATCAGGATGACATTTCATGTTTTGCACATGCCGTGATTTTGACAAAGTTTTGTGTGACTTGATTTTGCCCCTAATGTAGATCGGTTTTATTTTTGTACATTTGAGTTTGTGTTTTGTTTTTCTTTTTAGGACGTATAGCAGCAAACCTCAGTGTTTTATATCTCGCAGGTTTTTCAGCGGAAAACAAGCGAACAGCAAAGTGCCGCCTGATCAAACAAACTACTTCCAGCTAGGTTATTCAAAACTTTTTTTTTTTTTTTTTTAAGAGTCTGTATTCTTGGTCAAATGCTCAAGTGTAAACTCTGCAAATTTTTATTTACCACCGAGTTGCTTCCTATAAAATATCCCAAACAATAGAAATAGGGTTTTTGAAAAAGATGGAAAATAAAAAAAAAAGTGACATTAACATACCTCAGTCAGGAAACAGAGCAGGTAAACAGCTCCTGAAGAACTTAAAAAAACCAAACCAAACCTGGACACAGGTATTTCTTTAATTAGCATTACAGATCACACAATAAGTGCTTTATGCGTTTTATAAGTTCAGGTTTCATAACTATCCTGCATGACTTATTGCAAAGCCTGTAGTTTTTTTTTATAGCACATACTTTTTATTGTCTAATTAAAGTATGTGTGTTAAACATACACATGTGTGCTGTTAATCCATTTGAGGCAATATGTAATGTTTATAGCTGTTAAACATTTTCTGCTTGAATCAGTTCCACCAGTAACAGTATCCCAGCTAGTTTTTACACTGGTGCGAGAAGGGAAAGGAAAGTTAAAGTGAAGAATTAGACATCCAGCACTTGCATTGCAAGTGCTGTACACAGTGCTCTCTATTGGAGGGGACCTTTCTTTTTAAAAGAGCTTAAATTTGCATTAACATCCCTGCGATGGAATGCTGTAAACATTTAAGCCTTTGAAATCTTTTTATTTATTTTTTTTTGTCTCATGGAATTGTGAAAATTAAGGAAAGGACAGCAGTCAACAGCAAACTTCATGGAAGACAGCGAAGTTTGTCATTTGGGCTTGTAGCCACTTATACTGAGACTTTAAGCGAGGTGACCCCATCATTCTTGTTGTGAAATATTTTTCTAGCATCGTGTGATGTGCAGAATTATGTAATGTATGCACGCTTACGTGTGTGCAATATAGTTATTTGAGCAAGTCTGTCCAGTTATTTATAGGTTGTAATGGTACTTCTGTCTTTTTAAATTTTCTCTGAGAAGCTTTAATAAATTTAAATAGATTATCTGCTGTCAGAAAATAGTATAAATTTTGTTTACGATTCAGTTACTTTAAGGTACTTACACTAAAGAAGCTCCTTTAACCCTAAGAGTGAGTAGCATTAAGTGGTGAGAGGAGTCTCCTGAAGAGCTTCTACTGCCCTTTGCTCTTGTGATAATCTTAAATTACTACAACTTAATTGCAACTTCAAGGCACTAGGCTGAAATGTTTTTATGCAGCAGAGAGAGGGCTGAAGAAGATGGAGCTAGATTTTCACAGGTAGCTGTTTTTTCTTTGAACAGGGCCAGCATTTGTCCAGGCTTTTTCTTAACTTGGAGTGCATATAGCACAGTAGCCGTAAGTTTTGCATTGTGCTTTCTAAAAGGAGCTTTTCCCTTTGGATTTTTATTTCGTATATTTTCATGGGCAGCAGAAGTGTTCCACATAGTAGCAGAAAACTCTGAGTGAATACAAGCCTTTCACACTAGACATATTTATGTATGTAAGACACACACACACACAGACACACACACACACACACACACACAGACACACACACACCATTTGTTCAAAGATTCCTTACAGCCTGTTAAGTTGCTTGCTATAGCCACTTCCAGAAGAGGGGGAAATATTTAAGAAGTGAAAAAAGTCATTGCAGTGTTTGCTATTAAAATGATGGTGACGGGACATGGAAAGGCAGTCGTTTTCAGTGGCTTTCTGCCTGCGTTGAAACTCGTGCTGTTTGGGGCTAGGCACTGACCCCAACCGGTTGTCTAATGCATGTATCGCTATACTCCAGCCCAAGTGTGAAAGTTAAGGACTGAGAGACGTTTCTTTCTTGCTTGCTTGGACCCAAGCCCACTGAATTCAAAGGAAAAGCTTCCAGTAACTTCACTGCCTTTGGATTGGGCCCTTGGTTTGTCACTCATCATAAGCAAAAAGGAGGGGGGGAAAAACAATTAAATTGATTCCAGGTTGCTTGAAACCTGTGACAGTTTAATGCAGATAGGATACGTGATGGAAATTATCCCACTGACTGCAACTTAGACATTTTGCCTTGGACTTTTACCATGTTCTTGCAATGCAGGCAGGTCTTCCAGGCTTCCGGCCCAAGCCTTCCTCCCAGGTTTAGAGTTATCCACGGGTTTAGTCCCACTGACTTCACGTGCTTAAAGTTATGCATGTGCTTAGGTGCTTCACCGGGTCAGCTCCATAGTGAAGTTACTGAATTATTTTTATTTGAATTTTATTTTTTGTCGGCTGAATGCTTTCCAGTTGTCTTGCTGCTATAGGCAATTCATAAAGCTTTGCTATTTGTGGAATTGTTTTCCTTTGCACTAACTAAGGCAAACTGGCAGACTGCTGATCTCATCAGCTACTGCACAGTTTGAGTCCCATAGCTCTTGCTCTATCAGAAGGGAAGCTGCAGTTTCTTCAGTAAGGTGATGTCACTGAATAGTCTATAACGAGGAAGTAGGATAGCTTAAACCATACAGTAATCGGAGGAAAAACTTTAATGATAGGA